TGAAACTCCACTCTCATATGCCAAACGTCTTATGAGTTGAGTTGGATCTTTTCTAATTGATCACTTTAGGTCTAAGTTGAAATGAGGATCCATTTTCCTGTTGTGACTACTGTTCCCTCGTTTTGAAACGTTTCACTGTTCTGTGATGGTTCTTGAATAGACTATGAAGATGGAAGCCACAGTATGAATGTTGGTACCGTTACTGAAGGCCTGAATTATTTTTTTCTCTTACCATTAATCATTTTGGAAGTCGGTGGGACTGACAGAAAACGATTTTAATCAGTTCTCTTTCTAGCAGAATAACTCAAAAGGTTTATCAGGAATTCTTACGACAAATGGTGTCAAGATGGCGAAACGTCTGATGTGAAAACCTGGAAAAAAGAAGTTCAATTAGTTTATTGCGTCTTTAGATACTAAACATTTTGTGGGATAGACAATTATGCTATTACATGATTTGTACAATTTTGCTGTTACACCCGTACATGTTTGTACAATTTTGCTGTTATATATATATATATATATATATATATATATATATATATATATATATATATATATATATATATATGACTGGTGTAACAGCAAAAATTCTACAAATCCTGTACGGGGTGTAACAGCAAAATTGTACAAATCATGTAATAGCATAATTGTCTATCCCACAAAATGTTTAGTATCTAAATATATATATATATATATATATATATATATATATATATATGTATTAAATTAATCGATTTAAAATATGGTTTTTTCGCTACACAGTTCTAACCATGATTAAAAATGTGTAGTAAAAGAAAATATATATTTTAAATCAGTTAATTTATAATATTAATGCTCTGTAAATTTACATTGAACACTATTTTGTAAAAATAAAAATATCTAAAAGAACACCAAATTATATATTTTACTGTTCTTTCTTTTGATATATATATATATATGTGTGTGTGTGTGTGTGTGTGTGTGTTATGAAATGGACAAAGTCCGACAATTATTTTCAGACATTTTTATGTTTATACATTCTTTTTATAGATACAAATATTTTAAGTAAATGCTTTGTTTATAATAAACAGTATTTCAATGTTTATAATAAACAGTATATGAATGTCCGAGAAATTTTCATAGAAAATATTCGTCCTCCGATAGGAATCGAACCTGTATCCTATACAGAACCGTCATATAGCCTGACGTGCCGTTAACCGATTTGACCACAGAGGAGCGTTCGGTTAGCAAGGTCGATTTTACTGTCTTTGAACTACAATCTTCCATGAATCTCTCACGTACATTCATATCTGCTCAAAGCGTATCCAAATGTAAACAAATGACGTCATACATTATGAAATGGACAAATCCGACAATTATTTTAAGACATCTATAAAAAGAATGTATAAGCATAAAAATGTTTATATTTTATATGAAAATTTCTCGGAAATTCAGGCCGGTAAATGTTGTTTAATACTGTTGATTATAAACAGAGCATTTACTTAAATATTTGTATCTATAAAAAATAATGTATAAACATATAAATGATTTACAATATATATATATATATATATATATATATATATATATATATATATATATATATATTAAAAATGAAAATGGCATTCGTTTGTGGCTGACTTTTATTCTTGGTGACTTGATTTAGATTTTTTATACAATTTTATATTTCTTCTTTTCGACAGATAAAATATATAGAAACTGCATGTAAAAAAAGGCTAAATATAATGAAAGCCTTATTAATAAAAACAAAAAAAATCAACCAAGTAATATCAAATATGAAGAAGGGCATATATATATATATATATATATATATATATATATATATATATATATATATATTTCTACATATATATGTATATATATATATATATATATATATATATATATAAGGTTCAAAACACTAATATTGAATGGTTATAATTTATTACATTGGAATCGTAATCACGATCCAAACCATCAGACCTACAAATTCAACTCTGTCCTGGACATTGAGATCTACCTGGATTCTATCCTCTTGGGAATTTATATATATATATATATATATATATATATATATATATATATATATATATATATGTATTGAACACTAATATTATCAATCTATATATCTATATATATATGTTTCAATTGTGTGTATTTAGCCAGCATTTTTTCCTTGATTTTCGCATTCTGTTCAGGTTTCTTCTATTAATAAAAAAAAACAACCACGATGAATTACTTAATTATAATTATCTCAATTCCTTCTTTTTTATCATAATTTTATATATATATATATATATATATATATATATATATATATATATATATATATATATATATATGTGTGTGTGTGTGTGTATATATATATGTGTGTGTATGTGAGTTTCTCTTAATTTTGAATAAGTCGTTTTTATGTCTAGTAGAAAGCTGTCAAGGAAATTGCCGAAAACATATGAAATATTGGCTTGTAGTTCTCAATAGTACAACATTGGCTCTCTTTCGATTGACTGACTGATCCCTTGATTTCGATTTCTTACGGTTTATCAACCGTTTTTGAGTTATTTATAGCGGAAAGATCCCGGGAATTGCAAGAATATTTCTTTTCTTACGACTGAACATAGCATCAATCCTATTTGAGAATAACAATGATTTTCCTGGTTACAAGTTACTATTTAACCCTTAACTGGGGTAGAAGAGATGGGTCCTTACTTTTCCAAGTGTATTTGTGTTTCAGTGAATACAACAAAAGCGACTGAAACTCGAACTCAGCTCAACTCTCTGATTTCACATTCCGAGCCGCTAATCACTACACCACCCGCGCATCCATACATGCATACGAACAACGTGAGATAGACAGACGCATAACAGAATAGGTTAAATGTGAAATAGAGGGAAAGAAGAAGTGAGATGTAGACGATCGTAGAAGAGAAAAGATAAGAATGCAAGAATAGAGATAAAAAGAGAGTGAAAAAAGCCTATAAATTATAAATGGAAGTCGTACAGAAGGAACGACTAACACCTGAACGGAATTGGCACAGAAAAGAAAGCGAAAGTGTAACCGCCATACTCCCCCACCCCACAAAAACCCCGTAAACGTTATCTACATCAAAAGAGAACTTCGAGTGTCTGTTGTAAAATGGTATTTACTACCTGAATACAATCCTCACTCAGTGCTTTATTGTTGAGGTTTCGCTCCAGACGTAAATATCTGAGCGCCTGTTGTAGATTTATTGGAAATACGTTGCTAATGCGGGCAAAAGAGCACCTTCTTTTGTTGTTAATTCCTTTGAACCAAATAATGACATCAGCGGTACCAGTTCATTGTAAAAGTCCAAGGCGTCGTTAAATTTGCTTGTTGATTCATCTCCGCCCACCCGCAAGCCAAGTTTAATTTTATCTGTTTATTTTTCTTTTCTTTTCGTGTTAGTCGGCCATTTTGTTTAATTGTTTGTGGATTTGGACTAATAGAACTAATAGCAGACGTATATATTGAGCGCTCGTTGTAGAATTATTGAAAACACGTAAATCTCGAATACAGTCGCTAATGCGGGAAAATAAACACTTGTCCTTTCAGCAGGGATTAGAATACGCCGATTTCGTACCCTGGGGAGAGCTAAGACCTCCCATAAAAACAAAAGAGGTCATATTTCGAACGGATACCGGCAGACTCTAGCATGGAGGCGACGAATGTTTGCGCATAAAATACTAGCATAAGCCCAACATAGGCATCCTGGTCAGCCTGACGAGCTCGCTACCATTTGCCTTCTAATTAAGGGTCGGAGTGGTACAAGTCTGAGTGAGCCAGAATTATAAGCATCAATAGGAAGATAGAGTACAAGAGAAAGTTTGCGTGTGTGTGTGTGTGTATGAGAGAGAGAGAGAGAGAGAGAGAGAGAGAGAGAAAGAGAGAGGAAGTATAACATACATAGGCGTGAGTGAATGACTGATTCATTGCGAATGAGAGAGAGAGAGAGGGAGAGAGCGAGAGAGAGTGAGAGATAGAGAGAGAGAGAGAGAGAAGGATGTATAAGTAACCATGTAGGTGAAGAGATAAGATAGTGTATGTAAATATAAAAGTGGACATTGAAGTCAACACCCAGAGGCGACGGTTTCGTTCTTATACGCAATCGTCCGGCCATATATATATATATATATATATATATATATATATATATATATATATATATATATATATGTGTGTGTGTGTGTGTGTGTGTGTGTGTGTGTGAAGAAATATTGTTTAAGGTGTGCAATATTTATGGGATAAAGTGCACAATATCAGAGATAGAGCGTATGTAAATATAAAGAGAACATTGAATTCAACACTCGGTCTGTCGCCTCTGAGTATTGACTTCAATATTCATTTATATATATATATATATATGTTTGTATATATATATATTTATATATATATATCGATAGATAGATAGACAATGGAGAAAGAGGAAATCTGAGAGAGTCGTGAAAAGAGGAAAGGAAATAATTAATTTGTCACTAGAATGAACAAAAATACGAGCTTTGTCTTATATATAAGACAGAGCTCATATTTTGTTCATATATATATATATATATATATATATATATATATATATATATATATATATATATATATATATTATATTTAAAATATATATATATGTTTCAAAAATAAAAACCCTAGAAATAAATTAAAAGATTAGATTTCATCTTCAAGCGAATTTTCTGATAGATAAAATTTACCAACTCTATAAATTTTTATTTATATACAGTCATATATATATATATATATATATATATATATATACAGATAGATAGATAGATAGATAGTTCCTCTATACTGCCTGTATCTTTTCTTTTGACTGACGCTTCTGTCATTCTCTGTGGTACTGCTGATATTATGGATCTCATGGCAAACATGTTTCAATACTTATTGCTTATCGCCTACGAATGGTCAGAAACCCGAGATTGGAAATGAAAAATGGAGGGAATGAGGGAAAAAATTCGAAATTTGGACATTTCGTAAAAGAATGATAAAATCTGCATCAGACAAAGAGCATCGGGGTGGGGGGAGATAGGGACAGAGAGAGATGGACAGAGAGAGAGAGAGATGGACAGAGAGAGAGATGGACAGAGAGAGAGAGACAGACAGACAGAGAGAGAGGCAAAGAGAGAGAGAGAGAGCAGAGAGAGAGTGAGACAGAGAGATAGGGACAGAGAGCGAGGCGAGAGTGAGAGAGACAGACAGAGAGAGGCAGAGAGGGAGGAGAGAGAGATGGAGAGAGAGATAGGGACAGAGAGCGAGGCGAGAGAAAGAGACAGACAGAGAGAGGGGCAGAGAGAGAGAGCGCGAGGGAGAGAGAGAGAGAGTGACAGAGAGATAAGGACAGAGAGCGAGGCGAGAGAGAGACAGACAGAGAGACAGAGAGAGAGGCAGAGAGAGATAGGAGAGAGAGAGAGTGATACAGAGAGATAGAGACAGAGAGCGAGGCGAGAGATAGACAGACAGACAGAGAGAGAGGCAGAGAGAGAGAGAGAGAGAGGAGAGACAGAGAGAGAGAGAGGAGAGAGAGTGAGACAGAGAGATAGGGACAGAGAGCGAGGCGAGAGAGAGAGAGTGAGACAGACAGAGAGAGAGAGAGAGAGAGAGAGAGGGAGAGAGAGAGAAAGAGAGTGTGACAGAGAGATAGGGACAGAGAGCGAGGCGAGAGAGAGAGACAGACAGAGACACAGAGAGAGCAGAGAGAGATAGGAGAGAGAGAGAGTGAGACAGAGAGATAGGGACAGAGAGCGAGGCGAGAGAGAGAGAGAGTGAGACAGACAGAGAGAGAGGCAGAGAGAGAGAGCGAGGAGAGAGAGATAGTGAGACAGAGAGATAGGGACAGAGAGCGAGGCGAGAGAGAGAAAGAGTGAGACAGACAGAGAGAGAGGCAGAGAGAGAGAGTGAGACAGAGAGAGAGAGAGAGAGAGGGAGAAGGAAACAGATAAATAATATTTAATTCAGATATTTGCTAAGCATCGTTGAATTACTATCAATAGCTTGCGAAATTAGGATGGTAAGCCATCGCTTT